GTGGGCGTGACTTGGCAGATGTGATGAGTGTCGACGTCCAGCACTCACCGAAGCAGAACATGGGCGGCAGGCCCAGGGAGAGGGCGTAGGTCAACAAGAGGAGGCACAGGAGGAGGATGGTGTAGAACGGCCAGAGGTAGGAGACGGTCTTCCGCCGCAGGAAGATGAGGCACAGCAACAGCACCATGTAGATGACTGACAAGACGTCCAGGCGGACTGCCGCTACGATCACCGTGGTGATGTAGCACATCTGGGACGAGACGGGCAGAGTCAAAGAACTGCGTCTGTCAGTTGAACTTAACACTTAAAAAATAATCGTAATCATCACTGAACATGCAACCAATCATGGACCTAATCTTATGACATCAACAATGAGCGGCATTTAGCACAAACACGAGCAAAATGTGCGCATATTCACGTTCAAAAGTCACAGTTGAGTACTTTGTTGAGAAAGGTTAACTGCAAGATATTGATATAGTTTGGTGTTGATAAAACTGCATAGTACAGACACTGGATAATACATACTTAGAAACAGATATTAAAAACTTTGGACCATTCAGAATCCTACACAGAGCAGGCCTTCACGACAGACATTTTGAAAGTAATCATTGTTTTGGTCAACAAAGTACTTCGGAAGTGCTTGACAGGAACAGGTACATTCAACGGAAAATGGCGGCACCCTTACCTCCAGCCCGTACTTGTAGAAGCAGTAGTTGGCCAGGAATTTCATGCAATTCACCAGCCCCTCGTCGGCCTGCTCTCGCTTGACCTCCTCGAAGACGATCTTCTGCTTGGGCCTCTCCAGGTTGTTGATGTTGCGGTAGTGCTCCTGACGAAGCTGGGCTGCGTACCACAGGATCATCATCAGGATGATGAACACGTAACCCTAGAAACAAGATCATAGGGAACAAGACTCACGAGGAGGTTGGTGTTTAAAGGACCTACATGTACACAAGGTCATCTTTTACCTTTGCATCCTATAAAATTTTTTTTTTTCATTCGGCTGCTTTTAGGGCACTGAGAAGCCCTTTTGGATTTTTTATGATGATGCAAATTTGCATTTTGTGAGCAAAAGTGTAAGATCATTTTTGGAGGAAACCTCAATATTTAAAGATACTTCAGCAAAAGCATTTGTCTAAATTTTGCTTGTCTTGTTGTCTGAAATTTTCTCAACTCTTAGGGTGCATTAATACGAGTATACTCCTAAGCGCTTGAACGACTCGAACGACCCGAGGGTCAGTGAGAGTATACTCTCGCTAGAGGGGAGTATACTCCTGCACCCGAGTGTAATGCGCACGCATCCTACTCATGTTAACAGGAGTAACCGCGTGAACGCACCCCTGGTGTCCGTTGTTTCAGTACACGACAGTGGTCTACCAGCATAGTTTCTAAACAATATTTTCAATGAGCTAAAGTTTAGGTTAGCATTTTGGACAGAAACCAGCCAAACGTGTCTTCCTCTTACAACATCATGGCAACTGCACCCTCATTTCTCAGGGGAAGCCTGGAAATTTGAATAATGCTTGAAAAGATGCACTCTTCGACAAGCTCACCCAAAAGGGGTTCCCGATAACCGCCAAAACACTGCCAAATATTTCAGAAAGTAACATTTGTGTCACAAACCCTTTAACAAAATATTTATGTTGCACACTTCCAGGGGCCCATTTTCATAAACTTGTTATGTACACAACTTTTGCTTACAAAAAATAGGTTAATGGTCCAAAAGTTCAGCCTCATTTTCATTGCTTTCGATGAACTCATACCTGAGTTTTGTTTAACAGACAGATAAAATTTGAACAAAACCAACTACTAAAATTTAAAGTTGAACTGAATATCAACACTCGAGTCAAATGAGAACTTTAGTTGGCTCAAATTTATTAAATAGAGAAACTTTCTGGCAAGTTTTCACACTGAAAACGCGTAATGGATTCATCCTTACACTCAAGGTAACCTGACTAGACAATGTGGAGATACTTACAATGATGTATGCTGGAAAACTATTAGTCTGTCTCAGACCAAACCACTCAAGGTAACTAAATGTTCCATTGATGGCTTCATTATCCTGAAAGGAAAGAGCAGCGACAACATTTCGACTTTATATCTGCAGCAATTTGTACTTAATCTAGCTAACATTGACTGCAGGTCCCGAGGGAGTTACTTAGCAGCTTTACAGACAGAAATTCTCACTAAATTGTAGCCCACTTGATGTCCAGGTTCAACTTTGGGGCGGATGGGGGCTAAACCTGAACACTTCAAACATGTTGGAATGAACACATCTCCCAAGTAAGCAGTGCTACATTAAAGAGTGCTCATACTGCTGATACGAGCGACTCACTAAACAAGAGGGGTCAGTATTCCAAGCCCAGGACAGAAACTACTCAAGCTGTATCCGAGAACGAGTCAGAATGCAGAAACTGGCATTGCCGGCTCTCTGCCTGAGGACCGTCATGTACTAAGGCTTGAGCCTCTACCACGTGGGTGGAGCAAAGGGTTGCAAACTTCATCCCCCAATGTTTTCCGTGGAGTAACCACCTTTTTTTCAACATTTTTCATCTTTTTTTCCGTGTATTACGCACCACGGATGCAATTAAGCCAGGAAAAGCCACGGGCTACTTGGCAATTTCCTTTCCACAGCAAAAGTGGGCCATTTGACTCGACTTTAGCTGTCACTCCTATAAACCCTCATCCCCACCCCCCAAAAAATTTGAGATCTTGCTTCGCCCCTCCACTTACCGTGCAGTTGGTTGCAAATCTCTCCATGGGCATGAGGTCTAGCTGGAAGACCATCTTGACAAAGATGACGATGGAGACCCAGAGTGCCGCTAGAAGGAACATACAGCGGGTGAACCACGGCAGGGGCATGACCAAAAAGATAAGGAGGACCAAGAGGCCGTTGGCCGCCGTCATCTGCAAGCAGGGCACAAAAATCCACGCAGAATTTTGAATTTTAGAATTTTAGTGACAACATCTCCATAAAGGACGAATGAAAGATTTAATGAGGGGTAACTCGAGGTACCTCATAAGTCCCTGTTACACCTTGCGGAATCTCAAGGTAAACCCCAAGTTACAGACATCTAATGTCGCATTTCCCCCTTAAGACAATGACTTTATTAACATTACTCCCTTTAGCTTCCCTTCCTCTAGCACCTTGCATGAATATAGTTCTTACTTTCAACTGCATGAAAAGTTTACACTGCAGCAAGTTCAACATATTACCAGTTTGTAGAATTCTTGAGCTTAAGCCTAACCATCCTCAATCCTCCAAAATCCTACCGGCAGTTTGGAGGATTTTGAAGGTTTGAGGCTGCATGGCAAAAATTGCATTGCTGATTAAGGGTGTATCTCAGCCAAAAGGGCATAAGCGATTAGGGTTAATGACCAGTTTCAAAATTAGGAGTAAAAAAGTTTTTTCACTGCAATTTCCCAATTTTCATATGCTCATGAAGCATTGGCACAGTTGCTAAATAAGAGAAAAGCAAAATCCTGACAATCCTGTTGGGGAAAAACAGTTTGAAGTCTTATACTAACCAAAACCACAACCACATAGGGAACACCTGCTCGGTCAACTGTGGCCTGACTACACTATCAGTCATTTTTTTTTATTTTGGACAACTCAAAAAGGTGAGAGAAAATGTGACATTTACCTCCCTGGTGACCACCATGATGATGGTGAAGAGGACGACTTTGCTCATGTGTATCTCCAGACATCGCCAAAGGATCGCCGCCGCCCGGTCGTAGTATGTCTTGCAGATGATGCTGATGTATTTCACGTACAGCTTCAACTGGGAATGCGTCTTGTCTGAACACAAATTCATAAAAATGGGGTCAAGTCCATTCGTGCTCAACATTGAGCAGGCTCTTCAAAATAACATGACGGGTGCGGCATTCCATGAACATGGATTCCCTATGTTTAATCAATTAACAAAACATAACACAATGTTTATTTACTGGTGCATCAAAACATACTGAAACATGCTAGAGGAAAGTAATTCTTGAATGGATTAAATAGCACAACTTATTTCAAATAGTAATTTAGTGGTAGACATCCTAAGGTTGTTTTGGTTTAATAATAATAATACTAATTTATTCATTTATAAAGTGCAAATTTCATATAGATATGTTCAAATGCGTTGTACAATGAAGACATTAAGCATGGAACAATGAATACGTTAAAGGACGGTTAAGCCCATGGCATACAAAGGCGCCTCGGGCAGCCGCAAAACGACCCACATTCACCAACATCAGTAAAAGAGGAGACAATAAGAAGCAGTTACAGTTGAACACGGTACAAAGATAAACTTCTAACAAGCTAAACGGCACAAACAACGTCATACCTTTCTTGCTGATGTGAGATGCTCTGTCCGTCTCGTCACCTCCTTCTTCTCCAGCTGCCCCAACCTCTCCTTCTACGTCTTCCTCTTTGATCTTGCTCGGCCTGATCAGCAGTGGACGTGAGAAAAACCAAACATCACGTTTAGTATCTGTGATAACAGACTTACCTTGTTTGGTATTTCAGCATCTCCCTTCAAGATATTTGCAAACTGAACATTCACTATAACTCTGCCTTCTTTAGGTTCTTTCACAATATATACATGTAATTAGTGACCGCTGCTGGTATGCTAGTCTCTACCACTAGCAGGTGCCATTCTGGGGAGGGGGGTGGTGTGGTTACAGGTAAAGTTAAAACACATCGATTTGGGACAAGTTGTATGGGAAAGATTTCCACTAATTTTTCTCAACAGTGACGACGGGAATTTCTTTCCGAAAGCCGATTCCAAGAATTCCAGCCTCGCTTGGCCACGAAGGCCACATGCCAAACCGTAAATTCTCGGTTTGTGGCCCTACGTGCTCTGCACGCTTTGAATTACACAGTGAAAAGGCTGATTGTTCGGTGGCATGTGGCTCTACTCACCCTTCCACATTCCCGTTGCCTCTTTTCAAAGTGGGGACCATTGTGAAGCTGGTGATTATGATGCAAAATCGGTCTTTTCATTTCTGGGCTATGCACAAAGACCAATTACCATATACACAAGAGCCAGGGTCAGCCTTCTTTCACCGTGTTCGCTCGAGTGTGGGCCGAGAATAATAGCTGAAAAGCAGGCTGAGGATCTCAATTTTTACGGCGGCTATAGCCGCTTCCCAGCGCGAAGGGGTTAACCATTTGAAAGCAATAACATGTCCTAAAAAGTCTCATAGGGTTTATGCATGGGGTGTCAAGTGGCGCCTGTATGTGGAATTCTTTCCCCTGTCTTAGTATGCATTTCCTTAAAAATCTATTATTGAATTTTTTGTAATTAGAAATAAAATGCTGGTGCGAATACTGACAGAAGCGACAAGAAATTTACAAAATTTGGAGGGCCTGATGTTGGTTCTTGAAAAAGTGTCTTCAAAGCGGAAAAACATATCAATAAATGACACTGTACGTAAGCAAAACGACTGCTGACAGCAATCCATAGACTAAGAACAGTGCTTACTTGTATCCGGATTGTTCTATTTTGGTGATGTCCATGAACTTGGAGTGGAAGTAGTGGAGATAAACCATGACAATGATGATGAACGCTGTTGGAATGAGGAGGTTCAGGAACAGTTCTGACACGTCGTACTCACGAAGACCAAGATCCTCCAGTCTGAAATCAAACAGGCAAAGAGATGACACAGTGGAGTTGATTTCAGATGATTACCAGCCAAAATTGAGACCAAAACTCAAGGGTAATTCCAGAAATTTGGGGTCCACTGGTTTTCGTGTCCCTGTCACATCTGGCATATGATTTTCTAAGTTCAGAACCCATTTTTCTAATTTCCAAGAATGATGAATTAATGCAAATTGCCCGCCAAACAAATAGTGACAGTTTGAAATCAAGTCCAGTATATATCCATGTCAAATAAGGTCAGGAGTAACAGAGACACAAATATGTCACACTTTTGGACCCCTTATTTCTGGAATTACCCTGACCTGTAGCAAGGTAACACACAGATTATATGGATTTCTCTACAAGAAGTTAAAATCCTGTGAACCAACAAGGTAAGACTCTCACTTCAACTTTGGTCGCAGTCCCTGTCCTTTCAAAGTTTAAGATAAAATAGTGGGGCAAATGGACTAGCCTACTCCTCTCAGGATGCCAGGCCGCATTCCAATCTGTTATCTAGAGCTCGGTCTGAGTGTTTGCCTGTTTGAAATACTCAGAGACACGCCAGCAACGGACAAAGCTGTAGCTTTGGAATCCAGTTTCAAACATGGCTTTTGACAAAATGGCACCGCCCCTGGTACGCATTCATAACTTAAAACGGATGACCTGACTGTGCCAACCAGTGAAATGCCCTCCATCCCACCCTCTGTCCTTCCAAAGAGGAGTTGACATAGGACTCCTAAAGTCAGGCAGCGAGCCAGTTCAAATATCAACAAGATATTTGTTTGGAAAAATCTGAAAGGTTTAGATAGCCGTGTGAGCACACAACAGCACATCAGAGAAGCTGGAAATTTTTCATCTCAAGACTAGCTTACACTTTAAGAGAGATGCCCGTGCCGTTGGTCCAGTAGCCAGGAAAATCTTCAAACTGATAGGTGTAGATCATCACGAGGACGGCAATGGAATACAGCACCACCAGCCAGAGAAAGATCCAGACCAGCCCTCGGAAGAGAGTAAAGGACCACTGGAAGAAAAAAAACAAGGCCAACAAAGCAATGATTTGTACCAAAAACACAAATATGTTTAGTCACATGAGCTACCAAATTCTTCAACTGGTAGACAACAAAATTATTTCTAAAAATCATACTATTACTTGCTTATTGCTTGTCCCTGTTGCAGATCCTGTGGAATGCACTGTTTTAACATTCTCTGAGGTGATGAGTACACCTGAATAATTTTCGACAAAATGCGCACAAGCCCCTCCAAATGTTTGTGTTATACAAACACATCTGAGCAAAGGCTCAGGACAGTAATTGCTCCAAAGTGTCCAAAATGACAGTAACATTTGCACTTTTGTTGTTGAGGACATTGTTATCATCAGATCCAGGTCTGGGATCCCTGTATCACGGGATATCCACCTATGCCACCCTATATACATAATAACAGCATCAGGCTTAATACTTAAAACTTAGAGAGAAATATCTCAGTGAGTCCTCACCAAGAACATATTGGCGATAAGCAGGAACAGCCCCATGTAGATGATCTTGAAGATGTCCACCGAATGCTGGATGGTGACGATGAGGAACATGGCCATGACGAGGAGGATCCAGTACTTGGAGAAGATGCCCAGGACGGTGTTGCCGATGACCGACATGGTCTCGCTGTCCCCCCTGTCAGGAAAGTCACCTCCTTCCCTCGCATCTTCAATAGCTGCGGTGAAAGAGGAGGCATTTCCGGAATGAGAATAACAAAACAACTTGGGTGAAAAGAAAAGTGTCAAGGATGTCGAACAGAGTGACACCTCAAAACAGACAGCCCTCTCTAATGCAGACTCCAACAAAATTACCAAAAAAAACCACTGGTCTCGGGTCTTATTATAAGGGATCTGGTTGCACCTGCAGTGTGATGGACGCGAAGTAAGTACTGCTCCACTCCAGCATCAAGACTCGAACAAATGATTCCGATTTCTTAATTCCTTGAAATATATTGGCCTCTTACCCTGCATCTCCTCATCCGGATTGGAGAAGATCACCCCAAATGGCTGAAGAACAATCCCCTCTGAGTTCACGCTCAACTTGGCCAGGCGTCTCTCCCGCAGGAACTGTCGCAATGTCAGCCATAGCATGACGGTGTACAAGAGCTGAAACACGCGGGGACAAAAACTGGCATGTAAGAAAACAAAAACTGGAAAAAAAAAGATGTAGACTCAAGTTTGAATGTGAGTCAGGTTGAATGACAACACACCCTTATTTCTATTCATTCGAAGTGATAAAAACAGCAGTGGTTTGCTGGACTTACCGGCTCTACAGCCAACTAAGCTGCATGTACATTTCAGCATCAGTAGGGAAGGCTTAGACTACATTTACAGTATTGTAACCGAGACCCCTTAAAACCAACCTGAGACCCCTTAAAACCAACCTGAGACCCCTTAAAACCAACCTGAGACCCCTTAAAACCACCCCGAGACCCCTTAAAACCATCCCGAGACCCATTAAAACCATCCCGCGACTGCTTAAAACCATCCGGAGACCCCTTAAAACCATCCCAAGACCCCTTAAAACCATCCCAAGACCCCTTAAAACCACCACGAGACCCCTTAAAACCATCCCGAGACCCCTTAAAATCATCCGGAGACCCCTTAAAACCATCCGGAGACCCCTTAAAACCATCTGGAGACCCCTTAAAACCATCCCGAAACCGCTTAAAACCATCCCAAGACCGCTTAAAACCACCACGAGACCCCTTAAAACCATCCCAGGACCCCATGAGACCATCACAAGATCAACACAAGACCTCCAGTCTGATCTTAAGTCACAAGTTATTCAAATTAATTGCAACCACAGCATTCCTTCATCACTATTCATCCTCGCTTTTGTGACTGGTCTTGTGTGCATGGACTCGTTAGCACTGATGATTCAATTTCAAAGAGTGAAGCCTGGTTCCCTTATTCATGTACAGACCACTGACAGTATGCAACAGGTCAGGACACAGACAGTCATGGAAGAGACAGTGCGCCATGGCGTTGGAAAAAAAATTGCTTGCCATGATAGAGCTTTCTAATCTGACTGCGCATTGTCAGGGACTGATCTGTGATGCTATCTGCATCTCTGAAAACTAGGCCGGAATGAGAACAGAAGACGTAGTAGGTCGTTATTTGACTGCCTCTACATTTTGCCAACAGAACCAACCTGGAGAGCCAGCGGACCACATGGATACATGAACTTCATCAGGCCGATCTCGGCCAGGTTGATTCCGTCTTTGGTGACGGAAGGTAGCTCCGAGTCATTCAGGTCCAGGCCGTAGACAAACTGGATCAGGAGAAGGCCCTCGCAGTAGATGACCAGCAGCGGCGAGCTGTAGAGGGCGCGGTTGCGAGTGGTGGAGGCAGGGATGATCCATATGAGGAGTGACCAGAGCAGGAGGACGAAGGTCAGCCAGCTGTGGTAGGTGATACTCCAGACCTGTGGGGAATTGGGGCCAAAGACGAGTTGTGATATCAAAGGGGGTGGTGAAGGCCTTGATAAGTGGGGAGATGGTTCTCAGCTGGAGATCTCCTTCTGATAAAAATTTGCAATCTTTTTGGTGGATCTGGAGACTATACACATGTTGTGTAATGGCCTTGTGCATTGTGCCAAAGCAAAAGGGAAGTCACTCGTATTATCCAAATCCCTAGGGGTGTGCGAAAAATTACACTGGAATTGGAAGTTGCATGACAGTCTGTACTCGACACTGACACCAAAATGCCTTCATTATCTGGACTACACAGACATCTTTAGGAGGCAAGTTGAATCAGACAGAAACTAATCAACAAGACTCATTTATATCAAGTTCGATGCACATCTTGCCAACCATCCAAACCTACCGGAGTGGAAATTCTGGCAGAGTAGGGTAAGTAGGGGTTATTGTAGCACTAACCATCATCAAGATGAGGGCCCCGATGTAGCACTGCTTGGTGACGTAGGCCACCATCGTGGCAAACGGCGACATCTTACGCTGCCCGTCCTCCTCGCTCCGGGTCGATACCTGTCGCTGCAGCTCTGCCCCTTCCTCTGCCCCTTCTCTGCTCCCGCTGGCTGCGGCCGCGTCCGTCGGCTCCATGGATTGGTAGGATGGGCCAGACTCGTCCATGAGGCGCTGAGGGTGGGTGGAAATAAAACAGACGGTGAGAAAGTGGTCTCTTGATTTGGCTGTCTGGCAAAATAATGAAGCTGTAGGAATTGTGTGATCAATTTTGTTTGGATATTGTTGCTATGACTACAGAACTTCAGCTTTGCCCGTTGTATTAGATTTTAAACATGTAGGTGTACTGGAGTAAGTTAGTTCATTTGCAATATGTCCATACTGTTTTTGATTTTCCACCCTACATGTAGTTAGAATGTGAATGACTTACATGTACATGTTGGTAAGTTTCCACTTGCAATAATTCATGGGGGAATAATGTATATTTTTCATTTATTTGTTAATTTTCAAATTTCCCCATGAAACTATACACAGTTAATTATTTTTTTTCAAGGTATGATTTGACGTGAGCTGGACATGTGAACGAAACTGCGATTGCGTTTGAATGTCACGTACATGTAAAGAGGGTTAGCAGCAGTGTTGGGAATGAGAAGTTAAAAAGAAATGCATTTGGAGTTGTTAGCAGCAAACCGCATGGATTCCAGAAATGTCTCAAATTCAACTTCTGTCGGGGATTTTGTTCTCTGTACAACGGGAACAATTTCGTCTGCATTTGAAGCTACAATTGAAAAGGGTACCTACCACTCTACAATAACAAGTCATACACTAGATCACTCAATGCATAGATAATGTTGTATGCAAACTACAAGACAGAGAGACAAATGAAATGAGCAGCAGGATCAAAGCCAGTGAAACACTGCTGTGCCAATTAGTTGATATTGCCCGGGCAACATATTTTTATTGCCCAGGCAATATGTTGATATTGCCCTGGCAATATCCCAACAATAGAAGCAACATGCACAGTATTACACTGGCACGAATGTGGAAAGCAGCAGATAGCAGGCATGGAGCGGATTCACAAATGCGGACCATATGACAGAATGAAATGAAAATGAGCAGTACAATGCAACATGCCAAGAAACGTGCTATGTTATCGAAGGGCTACATTCCATGTCCTAAAACCCATCCAAGTTTCAAAAGCTAATTCAGTAGCTTTGGTCCGAAAATTTGTTTACTGGATGTGGCCAGAAACTGACACTTTTTCAAATGCTGTAATAGGAAACTTGGTTACTGTCAAACAAAACTTATTTCCTAGCTGATCGTACATTACGTGCAATCTTGCTTTGTTTCTAATACAGTACCAAGTACATAGTAAATATAGGCTTCAGATTGACATCTCCGAGGGGAATTTTAAAATTAGCTAATTTGGTGTCATATCTATGCAATACTGCCAGTAAAGTTAGGAGTCTGGGACATCCACGAAATATGGTATTCTGCAGAACCTAGAAGTCCATGACATGTACAAGTTGTGCCACACTGGACCCACAGACGAAATCCAATGCCGAATAACAAAGCACTTTTGGGGTAAAACGAAGGGGATAAACGCAACCACTGCCTGCAATGCTTCCAAGGGACATCGTGCAAACAGACACTTTCCAAAATTTCCTTCCGTTTACACTGAACGGGCTTCTTTGAGCAGCCAAGTTGGAAAACATCCATTTTAACCGCAAGTTTCGAACAAAATGTTAGATATTTCTAAATTCTACAGGTTTTGGAAGTATTGAGCAGCCATGGGACTGGTTAATACAAAGTACCATATTTCATGTAAAAAAATCAAGCTGGGCAGTCAGGAAACTGCGAACACACACACACACACACACTCAGTGAACACGGTGCTGCAAAGCAAGTCCAATTCCAGAGATGTCACATCGCATACATTTATGACTTTTTGAATAGTTTCCGAAAAATAACCGAAGGCTTACCCCTGGTATAAAAACACGACTTAATGTGAAGCATGTTCAAAATCTAGAGCCATCAAAATCCACCGAGGGCAAGAGGAAAATTTTGGAAGAACGCACAGACCGGCCATGTACCGGCCATTTCACAATAGTGCGCCTCCAAGAGTTTGCAACGCATTGGCCAATCCCAGTGCGCAAAATCTGTCCACCCAGTGCGCGTTTGGAAAGGTGGTTGGCCAATGCATTGAAACTCTTGGAGGCGCACTATTGTGAATCGCCCGTATTATGGTTAGGTGTATTACTTGGCAAAGAGCATGGTGCCCCTTGAAGGGTGAAAAACAAGGAAGGTACTGCTGGTTGCCTGTACAGTGGATGACTTTTGGGGGGGGCGTCTGGAACTTCTTGCTACAAAGTCCCGTTGAGGGCCACAATAGCAACAGCAGGGCAGTCTTCTTTAGAATAACTTTTAACTCTTACTGGCAAAACCTGACATGTACTACCGGTGCCTTCAGATTGTCCACAGTTACGGAACTACGGGCCTCGCATTTCTCATGTTAGCCCATTTACACGTACCACAGCATCACAAAAAAAGCGCAGCAAGAGGTTACAGTAAAAAGCTCGACAATATTGGCCAAATTGCCCACACAGTTTCTGGAAACTTGCCTGCAATTCTACCACAAAAAAAAATTGAAAAACCAACCAAAGTCACGAGCGAGACATCTCTGAAATAGGCCAAATCATATCACTGCAACATTTACAAGACACATCATGCACGCCATAGGAAAGGATGCTTATCAGAAGGTAATTAAATATAACTTTACAAAAAGAAATACTTGCTTTTGGGGACGACTGCGGGATAATAATGATGGAGAGCAAAATAAAGCAAAATTAATTTTCTTTGAAACCTTTTCAGAACATTTGGGTACAAAAAAACTTAGTTTCTATTTCGTTCATACTGGTAAATAATTATAGCACAGCACTGTTTAACAATAAAATTAAGAGCAAAAAATGTGTGCGGTGCAAAAGAAAACATACATTTTCTTAAAAACACACCAAAAATGTAACAGGAAATGTAAAAAAAATATTCACATTCACCTTGTCCAACATTACCTTTTTGGAGGACTTTTTTTCCACATAACATAATTTATGTAATATCGAGTGAATCCCGTCACTTTGAAATTTGAACATTAATTTTCACTTTAAAAAAAAGATGTGACAATTGAATGGTGATGAAAAAAATTTACCCACAGTGCACATGGGAGAAATTTTAGCAGAAAACAAAAACATACAAACCTGTCTCTGTGGGGAAACCTTGATGAAGAGAATGCCATGACAACCAGATATTAGAGAAATTGAGATGTGAAAACATGTGCCGAAGCTCCATACACGGAAGACAGCACAAACACATACACATGAGGTAAGAACGACGGAAAGGGTCACAGTGTTCAATTCGCAAGCCTTGATATCTCCAATTCGAAAAGTGTGAGAAGAGCTGATGTATCATTGTACTCATGACCTCTGACACAAGGTTAGCTTAATTTACAAAGGCAAATGCCTACGTCTATGCACCCATCATGTAGCATGTATACATATGCTAAGAGCAAAGCCAACTGCTCATGTGGAAGGTAGAACCAATATGATTTCAGAAGCCCAAGACAGGTGTTGTCTGTCCACGGAAGAGAACATTATGGCTACAGCTAGAAATAACATGTGCACTTAAGGGAGCCACTAACCAGCAGCTACCTCCACTTCTCACAAGCACCTGCGGTACTGTCAGCCGCAGCCACTTGGACATGGCTACATGTACATGTACGTTGTATACATGCATGATATGAGGTTGGGTATCCACACCACAGACTACGAGGTTAATTCTGTTTGTCTGGTATCTCATTGCAATGATTAAACCCCTGTGCATATGCCTTTCTAATGGTGTGGAAACACCTGTAATTAGTTCTCACTGTACAGCTCATTTCAGTGGATGCTTTTCTTTCAAACTGTCTTGTACGCTATGCACAGCTCAAGGGTAAGGCTGGGTGATTCTGAGGAATCTGAATGCAGGCAAGCGTAAACACAACCACCGCGTTTGGATCGTGACAGACAGGTAGAAGAAATAAACAGAGGAGAACACTGAGGAAGAGAGGAAGACTACACGAAGAAAGGGTTTACATCAGAAATGGAATAGAACTGTTGCAAGACAAGAAGCTCAATGGACAGGACCTCAAGTGTGAGACAGAAAAACAATAGGCCACAGGGTTTTGACCAATCACACGTAAGAGATAGGGTATTGTGGGAAATCACAAAGATGTTTCTAAAACTGAGAAAAACAAAGTGTTAGAACAGGGAGAAAAGGAAGTAAGTTCCCAAAAGGACGTTATCTTTTGATTTAAAAAAAAAAATATTACTATCTCCAAACACTAAAAAACTTTTAAAATTGTCCAAATGAACTGACCACATTATTGAGTTGATAATACAAGCCTTTTCATAACATTAATAATTACCCAATAAGTTTAGTTGGAAAAACAAAATTAATCAACCATTGTTGGCATATGGTTCAGTCTTGTAAAGTTAGCACCAGCTATAAAGTTAAGACTTTAAATATTAACCCCCATGTAAATAATGGGATGTGCAAAGCTTAATTTGCATACGTGTATGAATTGCAAAACTCAGTTGAGACAGCATGATAATGTGACTCGCTTGTAGACTAAATGTGTGGCTGTGAAAATCCAATCAAAGCAAAAGCCACAATATGAAATACAAAGGCTGGAGAGCACAAAGCAATGGATTCAAGAGACATCCCTCAGAAAACCCCAATGATACTGTCAAAATAGCCCATGCATGCTTTGAAAGGCATTTTCCTTAAAAAAAAAATCAAAATATTCTGGAAGAGTATACGGGTGCTCTTTCCACCTCTCTTCTGAGACACTGGCGTCTTCTGATGTTTTCCTACTTAAACCCTTTCATCTCGTCCCAACCTCTATCTTATTGATCCCCACCACTGCCTCTGTTTCAAGCCTCATCTCTGCTTTCTGCGTCTTACCTCTTTCTCTCCATGCTGCTTGCGTTGTTTCTTTGGCCGTCTCACAACCTCGTGTTGCTGGAAGCATGAGTGGGAGGAATCAAATTTACACAATAACTGCTAAGCAAGAGTTTATCGGTTGCCTTGACCAACCCAGTTACCATAAATGGCATATGATTAAATGCCATCCTATTTTCCATACTTCGCATGAGTACGTTAATCAAATTTACAGAAATTTGGGTAAAGACTTCAAAAATCCTCTTAATAACCAGTATATCCCTACAAAAGAAAAATGATACATGTACCAGGATTTGTTGACAAAAAATCAACAAGATGAATAACACTGGTCAAAATAAAAACAATCAAAAATGTTTCCAACTTCAAAAGCTACAGTAGTTGTAAACTGGCATGCAAATGGGAGTCTGAATAGCCTTATCTCACCAAAATTCAAAACTAACCAAGCAATAATCAGGAAAACGTTGTATGTGTTGTTTGTTTGCATTTCTGGAACCTTGTCTGCAAATTTGGCTGTGACTTCAGGCATGAAAACACATATGGCAGAAATTGTTCATATTGTTCATATATGGCAGATATTGGTCCACCAATTTTCCTGGTACCCAGGACACTTTTTGCACAGAAGAAATGACTCAGTGGTCAACAAATGGTCCCTTACCCAACTTGTCCTGTGTGACTCCTGCTGATTTGAACTTCACAATTAAAAAGGTTTCCAATCTCTGGATCTTTGAGGAGTAGGTTCGTGCCAACAATATGGGCCAGAACAAGCCCTAGACCCTACAGTTAGTCTTTGGAGCCTCATGATGCTTTACATAAAATTTAAGTGTGTAGGAGAAGTACAGGGTGCAGTCCACTAATTCAAGCAAGAATTTCTGGCCGGCTCATTTGCACATAAAAGTGCCCCCACCCACAGTATCTTTTGAAAAAGGAGAAGTGTATGGCCCCCAAAATGGTGAGATTGTGTAAATCTTTGCCAGAATCAACTCTCTGGGTCTTTGAGCTTTCATCTGAGAGCAGAATGGCTAAAATGTACTGTTGAAAAATGGTCCTAAGTGCCCAAGGAAGTTGAGGGTTGTCACTTGAAAAATGGCTGCAAGCAGACTTTGGAAAAATCATGTTTTGGGGGGTAATTTTGTTTTGAGGGAATAACTCAAAATGTAATCAGTTAACCCACAGAAAATTGAAAAGAAAGTGAAAGATTATGGACCATACAATAACTTAACATGTGTTTCTGATGCCTCAGGGATGTTGGTATGCATATTATTGGGCCCCGAACAATGCTGATTTTACACTGTTTTCAATGGGGCCTGAATTAGTGGATTACACCCTACATGTAGGAAGTCACAAAGTCAGTCTGGTTTGGCTAAGCCACTGCCACAAGGCTCACGCAAAAGCCAAGGTCTCATAAATGAGTGACCAAAGTAAGGTTACCAGTTTGTCAGTAAATCAATAGTCTGTAATCAAGGGGCAATATTGTGGAAATTTAATGTTTAATAAAGCCATATAACACCAAAACAAGTTAGTCCATCAGTGTAAGTGCCCCAAAACATCTGATAAGGGCTCATACTGGTTAATATTACACACAAAATGCCCAAAGGAAGAACTCTACAGTGGAAAATGATACAAACGGCACATTCATATGAAAAACAAACAATGCATAGATGTCTGTATACACGCATAAACTTGTGTTTATGTTGGGTAGAATCACTTTTGCATGACCATGCAGTGCGACTACTAGCAGTTGGGACTAAAAACCAAACAATTCTGGGATTCAGTATATTTCTCTCCGAAATCCTCCAATTTTCAACATGAGAAAATTGCATTCAGCCCAAATCTTCCAAAATCCTCCAAAATTTCTTGAAAATGTCATTTGGAGGTGTGCCTAACTGCCCAAATCCTTCGAAATCCTCTGGCAATTCCTGTCATTATGTTGAGGCAGTGTAAATGGAACTCTTTAGCTGTGCAGTTGAATAAAAAAAAAAATCGGACTGAATTTATGCATGACTAAGCAAGAACAACGAACAACACAAGGTCTAATCCACGACCTTCACTTATGGCATCCTTTGAAATCAACCATGCACTTTTGCCATACACCCTGAACCCTCCAAATTCCTCCACTTGGGAGAGAAGGATTTTGAAGGATTTGGGAGGATTAGGGTTAAATATTAACTCCTTGGATAAAAAAAAAATAAACTGGAACCTACATGTACATGTAGCTACACTGTAGCCATTCACGGTACCGGTACATGAATAAAAAATGTTCTCCTATAACTTGCACATTCAAGCTTTTGCATCTAGGATTGGGTGATTTGAGACACCTTGTCTTGGTAAACAGTTTACACTGCCGATTTGAAGAGATGTGCCAGTCACATGTACAGTGTAGGAATGTACATGAAAGCATGTCCACTCCATTGAATTGCATCATGGGCGCAACAGAATCAAGACTACATGTACAGTGTATCTGCCAATCTCAACTGACAAATGGTTTTGTTTGATGAGTGCAAACAGAACTGACGCAGACAGCACAAGCGAGAGAACCGGCATGTTTGAGTGCACTGGATACCTTTGCATGAAATTCTAAGGACTGCTGTACAGTACAGTTAAGGAGGCCATTCCAGGGCACGTACAGTGTCATCATGCAGACATGAGACGAAGTCCCCTCAATATGCTGTTTAAACTGTTGCCTTTTGAGACACAGCATGCAGCCCATGTGTTCTGCAAGTCCCCTGGCCCAATGAGCCAATTGATTGACAAGACTTTTAAAGTTGGAAGCACTTCATGCACAGCCAATGGCCCACTTTTCCGGATACTAAGGAAGCAGTTTGATTGGTCAAAATTCCTGAAGTGAATATCGCTGGCCAAAACTGCACTTTACTTGTGAATACTCACTTGCATCCGAATCATACAACAAAGTTGCTTAATTATAACAACGGTCAAGGGTTTTTTGTAATTATCTCTAGCACCGTTAACCATAACCATTACAGGTGAGTTTCCTTTTCAGTTTCAAAAGCAAGTAATGAATTCTGAGATGAAACTTACATGTACGGTTGGTATGGAGCAATCTATGCGGTATCTGTAACAATTAATGGACTGTATCTATGGCAACTGAAATGAAGAGGGCTGCTGAAGGACATGAATAAATAACAACCCCGGCAACAAACCAAGCTATAGGCCAGGGTAATATTGTTTTCAGTTAATTATAAGAGACTTGGCCTCAAGTTCATTTACTTACACGTAGCTTGGCACTACGCAGATAAATATACAGGTGCTTGTCCATTCTGTTTGGATAATACTCGTAAAGACTGATCGTCATCAAAACCACCCCGGTAGAAATGAAATGTAAACAGGCGAGATTGGAGGAAAATGAAATATCCAGGAAACAATCACTAGAGCCTTTCAGAGCCCCACCGTACCATGGAGTCTAGGGGTAAACATAAACTTTGTGTTTACCTCTGAGCATTCCTTAAAATACCCATTTCTTGTGCTTAATACCAATGTTCATGCGTAAAAACACCTTAGTTTTACACAGGTTTTTCCGGATTTTAAAGAGTTTATTTTAAAAAAACCTAAAATCCAAAAAACGGATTAAAAAACTCCTGAGATCAGAAAACGCCTGATAATCTCACCCCTGATATATGGGAAATATAACGAGTAGAGGACCATTAACACGTGTGCTTCTGAAGTTTCTGAGTATATTCTAGAAGCTATGGTGTCGTCGTGCACAACTCCTTGTTCAGAGTATACATACCGGTAGGTATATGTGCATGTACATGCATTTGTCACCTTTTTGAATGATCCACTCACTTAAAGAATGCCACGTATTATGGCATACTCGGCAGAATGGCCTACACACTTCACAGAATGATCAAACCACCAACAATGAATGTGCATGTACCAGCAAAAATGCAGAGGGTTAGGCCAGATATTATTTTTCGATCACTGCCTAGTGCTTGTGATTTTTAAGCGTGATAGAAAAATGTCCATACTGGTATCAACAATACGCTACTGTTTGAACTACAAGTATAGACTTTATCAGTACATAAACGTGCACTGAACATTATGTGCATCAGGCATTATATCGCATGACAATGAGGTGAAAAATAATCATAGAAAACTCAATGCATGACAACTAAAAAGCACTGAAACATAATCACACGAGAAAAAAACACACACAAAAAAAACAAAAAAGGAAATTAAAGTATAACAAAAACACCGATACGTGTGCTAATGACAGAATGTCAAGCCGTATTTGGAACAATGCCAACAAGCCAAGCTTGTCTGGCAGAATAATCCTTTGTGTGAATGGGTCACCTTAAGGCTCTCAAGATGTACAGGACTTTACATTCACAGACCCTTGGGCAGTCCTGGCATGGGAGGTAATTAACAGTAAAATTCTGTGCTGACAAGGTTGGCTTTGCGTCTCATTAATTAATCAATGGTACATGTTTATCTAGCCCAGAGGTAATCAACATGCAGGCAAGGTGAAGTA